ATACAAAACAGCAAAACACAAAGTAACTAATAAAATTAGTAAAATCGTAAAACACTAGAACAATAAAAAAGATACTAATAAAAATAAAATCCAAAGTTGGGAAAAGGCTTGGTTTTAAGCCGTTCTGTTTACCCGTGTCGGTGTCGCCTCTCTGCCGACCCTCCTGGATGATCGAGGTCACCAAACGATAGAAGACATTTAAAAACGAAGGAGCTGCCTTAGGTAACACCTGCAGGCGCACATTAGAAGTACAAGGTCTTCAGTAAATAGAAATCAATGAGAGGAAATCTGGTTTTCCTTCTTGATTAAAAACTTAAAATACTATTCTTATTCCTAATGACTTCCAGATGACTTTATAGCTCAGCAGACTCCTTTATCTCATTATTTCTGCTTGTATAAATAAGGATATTGTTATATTGTGCGATTAACTGGGTCTACGTTTAAAAGAATCTACAAACAAAAAAAAGTAGAAAACTTTATATTTAAAGGTTAAAAGTGTTCAWGTCGAAACAACTGAGTGCTTTATGAAAAGCAGCCACTTCTGGAGAGCACACAGCGTGAGTGAGGCAGAAAGTTGGATGCCTGGTTATCTCCACAGGCCTTTTTCAGACAGATGAAGATAAAGAGACGGAATACAGATGAGGAAGTGATGATGTCACCATCTCAGGTTAGAGCTCAGCAATGGTTTCCTCACATCAAGCCAGTCTCTTCTGCATGTCTGCCCACCCCACCTCTCCCTCTCCCTTACTTCCATCATAACCCTTATTTGACTCCAACATGTCCTTGGAGGGTCCCATTCYAATCAAATTTGACTTTTCCAGCTTCCTTCTTCATTTCTCCATCACTCATAACTTACTCCCTTCTCACCCTTTATAACTAATATTCATTTCTTTGCCTCCTCAGCCCAGTTTTACCTCCCTCTTCCTTCTCTGCCGGCCTCTTGTTGATGGCTTTTGTTCTCACAAACATCTGAAATCATTTAAGTGATTCTGGCCTGTTTACTTCACAGCAGCTGCCTCAATTCWATTCTGCTCTGTTACGGTTTGAAAAATTAAAAAAAAAAAAACAGGTTCACATCTAAAGAAACAAAATGTTGCCTCAAACTGAGGGTTTGGATGAGAGACAAATTCCAGTTTGWGTTAAAAAATGAAAACGTTGAGGTTTTTATGCAGCTTCAGTTCAATTATGGTGAGCTGCAATATCCTAAAAGCCAGATTCTTCTGGGGACTACCCTGGGGGCTCAGAGGCAGCTCATCCCAAATTTTCATTATTTGAATTCAAACGAGAGGCCTGGACCAACAATGACTTTCAGAAAATAAGAGCAAAGAGCTGATTCAGCAAAAAAAATAAAAATAAAATAAAAAAGACAAGACAAGAGAAACTCGTATTTAAGCATAATCATTAATTTATATTTTTTAAAAAGAGGCTTAATGCTGGCTCAAACTCAGAGCCTTCAAACGACGACTGATTTTTTTTCCACATAAGGAAGAGGAAAATTTAATTATTCAAAACGTTTCTGTAGAGTTTTGTGCAAACTCAGCGTTACAGTTCTGTCTGCTCAGACTCAGGTCTACAAGCTGAGGTAATGTGTAAAAGTGCAGCATGAATCTGTAAATGTGTTCACAAGCTTACTGACTTCAGACAGGTTTACTACATGCTGACATTTTGAAGTTTTGAAAAAAAAAAACAGGCTGGTTGGAAGAAAAGGAGGAACTGCTTTTCAACTTCTAACCAACTTGTACATGATATAAAACATGATATAAAACATGATATAAAAACAAATGTTATTTCTTGATGCTAAAAACAGGAACTAGTTAAGTTAAAGTGTGTCATGCTAACTAGTTAGCACCTGGTAAAAACATGAATAAATAAAAGAATGCTGTTGGTGCCTAACAGGAAGAATTTAGAGTAAATTATACCTAAAAAAATTAYTAATAGCTAACTGAAAAACTCAAACTGACTCATAATCTGTAAAAAGTAGTGCTTAGATCTGTATCTGTTGGTCTAAAACAGGGGTGTCCAAACATTTTGTCACATGGGCCAAAATCATCAAGTCAAAAATATTTTTCCTTTACCTGCTCAACAATAAACTAAGCATTGAATAATTAAACTAAACAAATAAAGTAGTCAAATTTATTGTTGACAATGAATGCGTAAATTAATCTAGATCCAGAACTTTAAAAGTGTTTTTCAGGATCCCATTTCGGGGGATTTAGTCAATTCTGATCTGATCAATAAAATCAGGATTTAGGTCACTCTTCTGTTGAAAATGCTTGCTGTATTCAAATTAATTAAAAGTAGACTGGAGTGCAGCAAAATCAGCTTTTCAGTAGAAGTCACTAGATAAATGTGGAAAAAAGCTAAGAGYCTGGTTATTTAAAGACAAACAATTGGCATTGTTGTCAATGTTTGTTATTGGAAGAAGATTTTACTTTGTCTATGATCATATTCACCTAATAATAAATAGGAAGTCTCCATCTACATCGAACACCTGGGCCGGGGGGACAAATTTGTAGACAAATCTGTATAATTCTTGAACATTTCCTCAAATTCTTGTCAGGGGCCACACAAAATCAGTTCAGGGGCCACAAATGCCCCCCCGGGCCACACTTTGGACACCCCTGGTCTAAAAAGATAAACTCTGGGATTTTAGATGTTTGCGCTTTTTCATCATCTCCTCTTGTTAAAGCCATGAGTTCAACCAGGACCTGTGTTTGGATTTGAGTCTGATCAATTCATCAAACATTTATAAATAAAAGCTGAATTTAAACATTAGAAATGTATCAATTGAATGTTTGATCTGAAAGGAAACTCAACTATTTTATGCACCTACTTTAAGCCTAGTTGATATACTTTATATGATTTTACCAATAATAAGAACGTCCCACAGCTGTACCTGAGGGTGGCACTGGATGATAACGAACAGCGCCTCGTGAACAGCCAGGAACACAGAGTGGTACACAGGTGGGCTCAGGTGGGTGAGAGGCAGCGACTGGAGCGCTCCGAGAATCAAAAGCACGTGATGAGGGTTTCTGATCAGCCCCTCCCCCTGACGCAACAACAACGTCATCGATGTCACCGTGGGAACGGTGAAAGAGGCGGTGAGAGAGTCGTCCTGACTGGACTCTCTGACCAAGACCTGGAACACAGAAAAGAAACACGTGTTACACATCAGTGAAATACACACGAGAGAGTAAGACGTTACTCTACATGTATAACACAAAACCTTTCAGCCACTTTCTTTATGAAGAATCTTTTTTAGTTCTAGTAAATGACAACTGAATCAGATCCTGTTTTATCAGCTGATATTTAGGAGAGTAAACCAAATCATACAAATCACAAATAAAACCGACATCATAGGGCTGGGCGGTATGACCTCAAATTCATATCACGGTATAAATTGAAGCCCTTCATGGTAACAGTATATATCGCGGTAGAAAATTATCATAAAAAGTTAAGATAATGTAATTTTTAGAGCTTTTCTTTTGCAGAAAGCTAATCTTAATTAAACCCAATATTTTTGCTTTAATATCTGCCTGCCAAACAATGAGCTTCTGCCTGCTGAACTTATCAGCTGCTGCTCTGCTGCGCGCTCATCTTCTTCATCTTCATCATCAGAGCAGAAGTCGACTTTCCATTAGCAAGATGGATTTATGACTGAACGAACGTCCACRTCTTTTTTTAAAAATAATTTCTGTGGGTAACAATACATAAAATACAAGTTTTTTTCTCCGTCACCTGGGTGTGAAAAACTACAGTTGTTAAAGCTTCGCTCTGCATGACGTGCAACGAGAGGAGAGGAGAGGAGGGGAGAGGAGAGGAGAGGAGAGGAGAGGAAATGATCCCGCGACACGACGTAACTTTTCTACAGCGGGAGGAGGAAATTTTGAGGATTTATTCTCTCTATACGCGTTTTAAAACTCTATAATTTCTTCATTATATTTCGAACTCCTGCTCAGTTGTCTCTGCACTCGCAGCCATGTTGACACAGGTGCGAGGACGTAATGACTGTAGGACGGTAGAGAAGAAATTTCTACTGTAGGCCAACTTCATACCGTTTCTACCGTCTACCGCACATCCCGCGCAGCCCTACGGCATCATATGGATTTTTTAACATGGCAGTGGGTTTTAGTGTTTAATGTGCACAGATACTTTGCTTTAAAGCTAAAAACAATAAAACAATACTTCCAATTCTACTTTCACTGTCTATTAAATCCTTATTCTGTAGGTTTCACATCAAGTTTCTGTTTTCTTTTCAAAACAGGCATTTGAACACTGAAATATCACAGAGCAGCAATAACCAACATTGTCAACCTTTCTTTAATATGGAGTCCAGCTTATCCTGACAGAACTAAAGATCTGCTGCTATAATTCAGGGTTTGTCACCACCCTTCATTAATTTAATCTTCACATGCATCTAAAAATAAAGCTCTTATTATCACTTTAAAGGTTGTCCTGATGCATCTCAGTAATCCAGAGATGCCGTCCATCTCTAAACAGAGGTGACAGTCCATCATTAAACAGAGGTGGAGGCCTCAGTTTTCAGCTGTCCTCCTCCTACAGCGCAGCTATTGCCAGTATCACTCCACCCCCTGGTAACAATAAGTGTTAATTAGGTGTCAACGATAGCCATGTGATGTGAGTATCAGTCACATCACAAAAGCCTGAATTTTGCCTGAAACTCTCAGACTGAAGAAGTCTCTTGGAGAAGAGACGAAACGTTTCATTAGAGAAGAACCCGTCCAGAAGACCTATAAATTTTTTTTTCTTTTTGACTTTAAAGGTTCTTGTCACATTAAGCTGCTTTAACTCTGTGAGTGTGTGTGAGGTCGTCTCACCACCATAGCAGAAATGATCTGAGGTGCGATGAACCACAGAGCTCTGGAGCAGGTCTCAGGTAAGTGACAGGTGGACAGCAGCTTCACGAGGATTACAGCAGACATCACCTCCTGCACAGAATCAGGAACGAGTTCAACTACGAAGTGTTCGACGCAAGTTTTRTACCTGCCCTGCGTCAAACATTCCACTCATGTGCACAGACTGAATTTAAACAAATTTAAACAAGTTATCAGACTGAATTTGGCCTCACCTTCCAGTGTCCTGCCCTCAGCTTGCTGACATCCAGGCCTTCTGTGATCAGCAGCAGGAGCACGTTGAACTGATCGGCGGTATTTTTCTCCACCAGGTGGCGCAACAGCTCCTGCACTGCTGGCTCCAGTTTCTCAACATCACTTGGTGACAACCAAGGAGCTGACCGAAAAAAAGAAATAAAAATATWAAAAAATCACATCACCGGCTAGATACAAAATGAAAAAATAAAAAGGTGAAATAAAGAAATTTATGTGACCAAAATAAAACAGAACTAATACATTATTTAATACACCTATGAGAAACTTATAGAAAAGGCACAGATGTGAAATGCTCCCTCAAAGTTGTGTTAAATTTATTCAAACATAATTAAAAATAAATCTTGGCTGGTTAAAAGTATCAGACCACTCACCTTTCAGAAGTCTGTGAACATTCTGCAGTATCTGGACATACAGCTCTTCCACCTCCTCCCCTTGCGCCTCCTCCACCCTCGACACCTCCAAGCTTTCGTAAAACGCAGACAGGAAATGGAGAGAGAAAAGCAGGAAGTCTGTGGGCCTTGGGGCGGAGCTTATTTCTCTGAGGATCTGCCGGCAGATGACCTGATAAAGGCTCGTGTGGATAAGCTGGGTGCTCTCAGTTTTCTCTGACATCAGGGCCATCTCACAGTTCAGCATGACTGTAACAGCTTCAACAACAAAGGCCTGACCGGGGAGGCYGGCCGGCTGGACGGCTGCGTTGCGGGCCGCTTGAAGCTTTAGGACCGTCTGAACAACCGGTCCGAACAAAGAACTGGTTCTCGCCAGGGTTTGAATTAAAATTTGATCCAGGGCTTTGCTTCTCGCAAAGTTAGAGGTCATCGTCTGGGAAAACGAAGTCAAAGAGGCCAGCAGAAGATAAACAGACGACACAGAAACCTCTGAACTGGAGAGCACACTTGCCATTTCCTTATTAGTTAAAAATGAAGCGAACTGTTCTAAGATGAGTTTGACGTGGATGTTTCTGGTTATGATCAGCTGGACCAAAGACCTGATGAAGACCTGAGCTTCTTTGACAGCATCGAGCCAACCGGTGCAGGTTTCTTGAAGCTTTGTGTGGTTGCTGTGCCAGAGGAGAGACGACACGACCGTCTGCAGGAGAGCGCCTCCATGTATGAGCTTCAGAACACCCGCAAAACCGACACCTCCGAGGAGAAAGGTCAGAGCCCTGAACAGCGTTCCTAAAAACACGGGCTCGGCTTCAGTTCCAGGAGCCTCGAGGATCGCCTGATCCATCTGTCTGGACGTGGAGGTGACGCTGAAGAGGAGGAGGAGGAAGGCAGAGGAAAGATCCTCGGAGTTCATTCCATCTGGATTGAGGTTCGTTAAGACTTCCAGCACCTTCCCCAGCTCCTTGATTTGCGTGTCTGTCAGCAGAACGTGCACCTTTTCTTTTTGTGAAGTCATTAAAATGTCCTCAACTAAAGCCTCTTTCGTCGCCGCTGAGAGAATAAGCGGACTGAGATTGCTCTCAAGGGTTTCTTTCTCGAGGACGGTCAGAAACTTTGGACAACCTTTGGGTGTGTGTCCTGCTTTGAGCACACTGATGATCCTCTGTGAGAGGGTCTGAACGGTGGTGGAGAAAACTGACACCAGCTCTGAAAAAAACGAGCTCTGAGTGAGCTGCGACGATATGATGGAGACGGTCAGACCGCCAAGCGGATGATGTTTGGACCTCTCCTTCTGTTCATTTAACAACGAGCTGACGAGCGTGCGCGCTATCTGACCCACGTCTTCTCCACTCAGGTGGGGAATCATTATCGACAAGTTGGATACGACGAGATGCCAGTGTGCTACAGGGTAGGTGCTGGCATTTACGCTGCCGATCTGGCCRTCCCAAACCTGATCTCCATCCGGCCTCGCCTCCAGTTCCGACCTGGCTACGACGAACTGAGCTGCCCTCTTCAACAGCGCTGCGGTGCCGCTTTCACCGGCTAAAACTTGGTCCAACAAAACCTTTTTCAGCTGCTGCAAAGTGACGTGTTTGAGCAGTAAACGGCTGGTGGGGCTGAGGGAAGGAGAGGGGTGCAGATGTGAAGGGAGGACTGAACCCGATACGAGACTCTCGATGTGAGCYGGGAGAGGAGAGCCGGACGGATCCTCGTCCTCGGCGGCTGTCAGGAATGAGTCGACAGAAGAGTATTTGCTGCAGTGGGTGTGGAGGAGTGTGTCCACTTCCACCCAGGTGTATCTGAGCAGGAGAATGGCCTCCTGTGTCTTCTGCTCCCAGACTGTTTTTAACTGTGAAACTCTCTCAGACTTTTTGGAATCCAGACTCTTTTTGCCTTTCTTTGGTGTTGTTTGATTTGAGCTTAAGCTTGGTTTCAAAGACGTCCTGTCACTCAACAGATTTAATAACTCCTTGATCGTCTGTTGCATCTCTTCCATGAAGTCTTTGCTCTGCCTCACCAAGGGAGCAGGAGAGGAATCATCTAAAGTCTTCAGACTAAATAAAACAACATGAAGCAGCTGACTGAGGCAGCAGAGTTTCAGAGACGCGTCGTCTCTCTCCTGGTCCCTGTGCTCTCCATCGGTCTCCGTCGCCTCTCTTTGCTGTAAGCCAGGCAGAACAYACGTCCCGATGCTCTTCAACACCGACGAGCAGATCTCCAGAACCTGAGAGGGCAGAATCTGCAGAAGACAAGTCCTGAGGGATGTAGAGACGCTGTCAGAGAGCAGAGGAGGTGGACAGGCAGCCTGAGCTGGCTGACAGATCACACACAGGAGGGCAGAGAAGAGACGAGACAGCTGACGGAGCTTTGTGTAGGTCTGGATCAGACTGCAGACCAGGATCTGTTGGGAAACAATAAAGTTTAACAATGACGCTTTACGACATTTAAAATGTGAAATGTATAATGTCATCCCCTTAATTACAAACCTGTCTGGCCCGATGCACTTGTGCTTCCAGGTCTTGAGCATTTACCCAAGCAGAGGACAACAGCTGGTCCAGGTCTGGTTCAAGAATCAGATGATTGAGACTCAAAAGTACCTTTAAGCACCGGTACCATGCTGGTATGCTGCAAGTCGACACATTTTCACAGTTAGACACAAAAAAAAACAACAACTTTAAATGTAAAAAAAGAACAAATCCACCAAACTACATTAATATTAGGGGTGTAAATCACCAGCTTTATCACAATACAATATTACATCGATATGTTTGGAGGAAGATTCAATATTTCTCGATATCACAAAGTCTGTCATGATATGATTTCGATTCAATTCAATTCACGTCTGCGATCGATTTAATGCGATATCATATGCCCATCTAACACAATGACTGTGTTAGTTGGGCATATGATATCGATTCACATCGAGCATATGATGACGATATAGATATTTTCATTTTGCCTCGATATAACTGAATCATGAACCATTCAAATCAATATATTGATTGAGATATAGAAAGCACGATCATTGTGTACGTTTAAGAAAATGATAAAAGTTGGATTGTTAAAGAAATACGAAACAGTATGTGTATCTACACAAATTGTTGTTCTACAGGGATTAGATGTTCTTGCCTTTTCTTTTGTTAATAACAGATTTTTTTTTGTTATATGAACTTATTCTTGGGAAAAAAGGGGCAGATATAAGATTTTTTTCTTTTCTCTGCTGCCATTCATTTCATTTTATTTGTGATTTTGATATACATATATTTTTTCTCATTTTTCTTTTTATATTTTTCTTTTTATTGTATATTGTACATAAAATTATTTGTTTTGTTTTAATGAAATGAATAAACTGAATTGAATTGAAGTGAAAAAAGATCGATGTAACGTTACACCCCTAATCAATACTAACCTTGGTTGGGCTTTGTTGAGGAGCATTCGGGCCAAGGCTCTGTAAAACCTTAGCTGTACGTCTTCATGTCGTATCCTGTCTGCAGCTACGTTATAAATATCTGCTGCCAGCAGCTGATTGAACAGAGACTCTACAGCCTGCAGAGCCAGGCTCCAGCTCTGTGGGGAACAGGCTGGAGGAGACTTTTGCACAGAGGGAGCAGAGTCCTGCAGCTCCGGGTGAAGATCTAAAGCTGGAAACAGTCTGACCAGGAAGTAAAAGCACAACATTCTCTGCTCCTCCTCGCCTTCGCCTTTTGCTTTTCCGTAGCTTTCCAGAAAGAACTTAAACAGCAGAGGCAACGTGTCCGACTTCAGAGAGTAAAGAAGAGGCTGCTCGCAGTAATTCTGAGCGTTCAGTTGGCGAATTAAAACACTAACTGGCTTCAGAGCCTCCCTCGAGCCTCTAGGTCCGTGTTTCCCAGGTTCCCGTTTAGGCGGACTAAGCTCGGCCTTGTATAAGGCCAGGAGCTCCGAGGGGAAGAGAGCCAAGTGAAGGACGGAGTCGATCTTGACGCGGATGTCCCGGCGCTGCTGCGTGCGGAGGTGCAGCTGTGAGTGAGAAGCACTGAGCTCCTGAGAGGTCAGCAGGTATCTGAGCAGCACTAATGGCTGGATGAGCTGGTTGGTGACTAAAGTAAACACTCTGTTGGAGTTGGCCTGCTGTTGCTGCACCGACAAGTAACAAGACAGCACCTGAAGAAAAGCCTCAAAAACAGCTGAAGGGCGGGTTGTCTTGGACTCGGAGGAGTTCTCATCAAACACAGACTCGTCTGGCAGATTCTCAGGTTCGGCCTCCATCATCGTTTCGTTTCGACGCGCGTCYGGTCCAGTCCTCCGGCGAGCTGCGGCCTGCGACTTCTGTATCTCGAGGCAGGCCAACGAGCAGAACCTGGCCAGCAGATTAACCATCAGCTCGTACTTTGTGGTGAAAACGGACGAAAGCACGGGAGAAGAGAGAATGCCGAGCAACACGCTCATTACGGTGGACACGCACACCTGTGAGCGAGCATGTGTGTCGACCTGCAGTTGGTCCAGCAGCAGCTGAAGGCAAACAGAAAAAAAACAAAAACATCAGTAAAACTTTTTTAATAAACGGTGGGTCCTGATAACAAATGCTATCAAAGGATGTCGTTTTTTTGTGAAACAAGTTTTTTTTTAATAAGTTGCTACACAACCATTAAGTTTTAAATCTTATTATTGGCGCACCTGTGCCATGTTGAGCCTCAGAGTGATGGTCTTTCCCTGCTTGAGGAAAGAGCGCAGCTTCTGGCTGTGAAGCACGTCGTCCAWATAACACCACAAACCTTCCAACACGTCCTGTGAGAGTTCCAACTTCTTACTGTGCCAGTTTGTGAGAGCATGGGTGCACCAGTCCAGCAACACCTACAAACAGAGGGACCCTCAGAGTCTTGAACAACAAATAAGGATGTTGACATCTTGTCAGCAGCAGCTGCCGTTTTCTTCCCAAACTGCTGTGACCAGATTTTGCGAGGCTGCTCGGTGCGTTTGCTCGCAATTTCCTCCTGCTTCGTTATTTCTACGAATTTCAACAAATCGGGCTGCTGTCAGGTAGTTAGCTACAGCCTCGTCTTCGAGTTTTTAATTTTAGTTGATGCGTTTTGAAGAGACAATTTTTTGAAAAGAGGATCAAAGTAAATCACCCGAGTTTTTCTAGTGACCCCTTAAAGAGATAAGCTGCCATGAAGAACATTATTTTATCTGCCCTTGTTCCAAATTTGATAATGATTTGAAACATCGAAGTATGTTTTTTTTATCCGGAACAGTGCTTGTTGCAAAGTGTTTTGATGCTCGTCTTCGTCACTTGACACATTTAACACGCTGTCATTGGTTGAGGAGCTTTGTTTACTAAACAGATGTCCAGGTGGTTTTTAAATTGTTTTAATTCCCTTACTTTCTAAGACACATTAAGTTGATTTGATGCTACAGTTTGCCTTGTAATGTTATTTTATACATTTTCTGCTACTTTTGAATGGGCTGTTATTAAGTTTTATTGTTTTTTTAGGATACAAGATGCTTCCTACAAAACCAGAATGGGAATCTTTTCCTAAAATTTCATGGCGATATCCTGAACACTGAGGAAGTTATGAGCAAAATTAGAAAACAGCAAGGTGAAATGGTCACAAAGGCCACATTGGTTCTGCTGTGAACTGCAGCAAGAAAACATGAGCTGATTTCACCTGAACAAACATCAATAACTTCCCTCATACTTCAGATAATCACATGGTTTTGGTGTTATTTTGTGTGGTTTGAAACGTTCTTTTGGAATCAGCTGTCAGATTTAATATTGGTGTAGGATTAAAAATTTATCCACATCCCTACAACAAAACACAAAAAACGCTGCTATCCTTTCAACAAGCTTTAAAAGGAGACACGTCATGCTTTTAAATCCTTCTTGGTCTGAAGTCCTCGTCATTGTAGCTCCACAAGCCCCACTCTCATCTCTGTTCAGTGGCTGGTCTGAAAACAACTGCTATTATGGCTAAAAAAGTGGATTTTGAATTATATGTCCCTTTTAATCCACAGGTCAGCCGACAGAGGACTGTGGTCCTAATCATAAATGAGTGTTCTTTTTAGAACCTCWCCATGTTTTTCCCATTTAAAGCAGCTGAGCCTCTGAAAGTCAWATCAGACTAATTTTTACTTTTCTTTTACAAGCTGTTTGTTGAYATGCTGAGCTCATTCACTCACTTGAATCACATTAGTTGAAGCACAGGAAAATAAAAACTACAACATGCAGGATAGCGGACCTCAGGAGTTGCTTGACTACAGTTTTAGCTGTTACCTGTTCTTTGTTGGGCAGCAAACACTGAGAGGAGATCCAGGCGAACCGAGCCAGCTTCAGCCTGTCCTGCCACGAAGTCTGTGGACTCTTCAGTTTCAGATAAATACCCGAGTAGATGGCAGACATCGCTGCAGCTCATGGGCAACCTGAACGCTTCAGGGAAAAGGATAAGATTTAACAACCACTGAATACTGTGGAGACTAAAACACTGCAGTGTCCGGCGAGATACAGATTATTTACSACGGCAGATATCAAGCTAACAGCTAGCTTGTTAACGTTAAAAATACTGATACTTGAGTTCGTATCTTTCTACAGGTAAACATTTMATCACTCAGATTAAGTTGTATAACTTTATTGATTTGTTAAATGTGTTATTTTTTTACCATAAGTTGCAAGATATCGCCGCACGTGTCTGCCTTTTTTTTTCTCAGATTCTTGAACTTTCAACCCTGTGGCCAGGCCAAACCAACAGATAGTCGAGGCAATCGATCACAATTTCTACAATATTATCAGGGACCTTTCTTTGTCTTCATTTGGAAGAGAATTTTAAATATTTCTGTTACACTATTTGTGTTTGTTTTGTTTCTTATGTTTTCGAATAAAACATATGACTCTAACGTAAACTGGTGATTTTTTATTGTATTATTTGATTCATACGGTTTATTACAATATATTGGTGTAAAGCATTTTATAAGCTTCAATTCCATACAATTGCACCATAAATAAAATGGACACTACCATGATTCATTTTAAATTTATTTACATAAAGAATTTCTGTTAAAACCGAACTAAACATTGTCCATGTTGCTTAAATTAAAAAAAAGGGAAACTTGTCCGGTACATCAAATGCATTAGTGTTTGTAAATTTGGCACTTAAAAGACATTAAATTTACATGTAAATTGAAGTTAAATAAATTTTCATTGGCAGAGTTTAAAAAGAATTGTGAGCAAATGTTTTATTGTCCAAATAATAAATTCTTAGTAATCAAAGAAACGTAAATATATTTCATTCTAGTGAGTTATAATTTCACAAAWTTTAATTTATTTTATTTTATTTAGGTTTTTAAGGTTTCCTGTTACATAAAACACTGATTTTTCACATAATAACTACTTCCCTCTATTTTGGTAAAATTTCGTGCTTTTAAATAAATATATGAATCTCCGTACGATCGATTTGGGTTTGTTTAGTTCTGTCTGGGAAAGTTTCCTTGCATCATGGAGGCGGAGGAACCATCGGAGCTGTAAACGAACCGAAACAGGGTCACCTTTCCTTCTCCTTCCCTCTGTTATACATTTATCTTTTCCCCGGTAAGCTCATTATTAGATGCGTTGTTTTGGATCTGACCGGGTGTTAGTCGGTCCTCGGCAGCTTGTGTTCCTCCGCAGCTGGTGTCAAAGCTCGGTTAGCGTCAGGTGATAGTGACAGCAGGCAGTGTTTGGGAGCTGCTCGGCGATAAGAGATAAAAGCTGGGTTAAAGAGGGCTGTGAGGCGCAGATAAAGTCTACAATAACGGCCTGAAAATCGACAATGCACCGGCAAACTCCCCTGTGGCTGAGCTTCAAGGAACACCGGCTGGGATAAAACGAAAGTAGTCCGAGTCTGAATGCCTGTGTTAGACGTKTTTTGTTTGTTTGTTTGTTTTTGTACTTTTACTAAGATTTTTCTGAGTTCTCAACGATGCGGCTTTTATTTCGCGTTTCAAACTGCACCAACAAGCTGTACAAACTAAAGCCGACCCAGCCCAAGTTGTTATGGYTGGAGCACCGAGCGGTCCTCTCCTCTTCTGCCCACTGGAGGAGGAGGCAGCCCGCCGAGGTGAAGACCTCCGTGTGTCCGACTCCTGCCGCCGGTGTCCTGTCGGCTCTGTCCCGCGGTCCTGGACTCTCTGTCCTCTACGCGCACAGCCCTGCACGGACGGTCCTACACACACCTGTTGCCTTTTCCAGCTCCTCGGCGGCCGCCTCTCCTGCTCCAGCCGGGGCTGTGAAGACCCAGGAGAAGCCGACACCCACCACCGTCCCGCTGAAGGATGTCAAACGGATCCTGCGTCTTTCTCACCCGGAGAGATGGAGACTGGCAGGTAGATCCGAGGCTCCTCATTTCATCTCTGTATGTTAAAAATAAACTGACAGATTGTGTTTTAAAAGGCTAAAAATATAATAATGGCATCTTAAAATTCATTCTCTAAAACACAAAAGGCTGATTATTTTTTTCATTTTCTGTTGTGTCTTTTATTTCTTCCTTCTGTTGTCATTTTATGCCTTGTTTTAATTTGTTTATGCACTTAGTTTTCTTTATTTGTTTGGGAGGGGAATTCAGCCTCTTTTGTGTCACATAAAATCTCATGATGATGCAACAGAAAAAAAAATTGATCTTTATCTATGCTGAAGTTAGTCCAATCTACAGATAGGATGTGGTGTTTTAGATTGTCATAAAAATACAAATATTATCTAATTTATTTAGCTGTTTATCTGGCAGACAAACTGATAATCGGCACATTTTATACTGGATGTTGTATCTTATAGTTTAAGCCACTAAAATCTGACCTTTGAAACATCCAGGCCATAAACTTAATGAATGAGCTAGAGTTGTGTTGACACATAGAAGACAAATAACCAACATTTAAATGAATCGTTGCACTTTTCTCTTACTGGCAATCTGTTTAAAAATGCATTTTATTCTCATTTCTATAACCACACTTATGTAAAATAACACAAGTCGACATAAAATTGTATTTTAGCACCACCAAGATGATGAACAAAGAGGTGAAAACTTAAACTAAAACAGATGAAAACTAAAGGATGATGTAAAGTAAAGAAACAGGAAGGGGTTAACTAGATGTATCTTACAAAGTTCCTTTTATGAGATTAATTTTTCATTCTGATTTCTCTCCTTGCGTTGTTGTTTTTTTTTTTTTTAATCCCAGCTGCTGTTGGCTTCCTCGCCGTCTCCAGTTCTATAACCATGTCAGCTCCCTTTTTTCTGGGCAAAGTCATCGACATCATTTACACCACTGCATCGGACACAGAGACGATGACGGCCTCTTTAACGTCTCTGTGCGGCCTGCTGGCCGCAGCTTTTCTGTGTGGAGGAGCAGCTAACGCCACCAGAGTCTACCTCATGCAGCTCTCGGGTGAGACGAGAGGCCGAACGAACAGAGCGGATGAAACGGAAACCCTGTGAGATGTGCTATTTTTTTAAAATTCATTAATTTTTTTTCTTCTCAGGTGAAAAGATCATCCGTAATCTCCGTGCCTCAGTCTTCGCCTCCATCCTTAGACAGGAAGTGGCCTTTTTTGACAAGAGCAGCACCGGCGAGCTCATCAACCGGCTCTCGTCGGACACGTCTGTGGTGGGTAACTCCATCACAGACAACCTGTCGGACGGGCTGCGAGCCGTCGCTCAGGCAGCTGCTGGTGTCAGCATGATGGTGAGTGCTGGACTCTGAGGGGTTGGTTTTGATCCCGCAGCTGAGTTCAAATATGAAGGACTGTAGCGGCTCTGATTTAACACGGAGGAGAGATGCAGTTCAGAAACACAGATCAGGATCTTCAACATCTCTAAGTGAGGACTGCTCGACTGTGGTGGGAAATTAAACAACTGGAATAATTTCTAAATGCTTTTAGAAACTGAGATTTGATGGAAATGCCACTCCAAATCCAAAATCAGATTTCTGCTTAAATAAAAACCTCCTGTTGCTTTAGCCTTTCAGTCAGAAAGTAACAGAGGAAGGCTAACTATGAGGAAATAAAAGTTGCATCATTGTCATTTATCTTTTATTCTTTTTCTTTCGGTTTTAATGGCCTGCAGGAATGTCGTAAAACAGGTTTACCACAAGGCTTATTTGGCAAATAATTTCATTTCAAGGTTCACAACTGGCCGCCCTTATAGTGTTAGTTTCTCTTCTGGTTCAGTCAGTTAAATTACATTTCTTAGATTTTCTAAAGGTTTTTATTTAGAGAAAACTATGCGATGTAATAATTTACGTATATTTGTGTCCAAACAGTTAGTTGTTTTTGCTCTCCACTAAATGCAGTTTTATTCCCTCTCCCTTCTTTCAGTTTTACATCTCTCCCAGTCTAGCGTGCTTCGTGTTGATGATCGTCCCTCCGATGGTCGTCGTCGCTCTCCTTTTCGGCAGGTTTCTTCGCTCCATCTCCAAACGCACACAGGACGCGCTCGCGCAGTCCACAAAGGTACTCGGACTGCTGCAGTGTCTTGTGACCACTTTTCTGTTTAATTGTCAGATATTTTTATTGAAATTTGCTGCATTCTTTTCTGTCTTTAGATGATTTCTTTATGAGACTCTGTAGAAACCGTCAGCAGTCGGTGTTTGTTGAACCTTTGTGTGTGCATCACGTGATGTGAAGCACTGCTCTGCCTGCTGGGGCTTAATTCAATTTGTAGATGGAGTTAATTTGTTTAGCCCCTATAAATGTGTGTTTGCAGCTGGCTGAAGAGAAAATCAGCAACATACGGACAGTCAGGGCGTTTGGAAAAGAGATGTCTGAAGTGGGCGCGTACGGTCAGAAGGTGGACGCCGTCCTGAGCCTGGCCAAACGGGAGGCTGTGATGACAGCCGGTTTCTATGGGCTGGTAAGTGTGTGTGTCGAAAATTCACAGTTAGGTAGACATGCTTCTACTTCGTGTGGTTTCACAACAGCCGCACAACTGAGCCACGTTTCGCCATTTCCCACTCAAAGCATTTTTCCATTTAAGGACAGGAGACCACAGAGAGGTGCTCGTTCAGGTCAAAGTGTTTGTCAGGAGCTGGTTTTAGGGGAATAATTCATTTCAATTCAAAAAAATTATTAATTTCATTAAAAATAACTATATTCACTAAAAAAAAACATAGAAAATGCACAAATCAAAAATTAAATGAACTGAAAGGTAGCAGAAGAAGAATAAATCTTATAATGTCTGCCCCTTTTATCCTCAGAATAAATTCAAACAAAACACAATTTACAAAACAATACTAAACAAAAATAAAAACATCAACTCACACTTCATACAGCTTCACATTTTACTTTTATACCTTCAGCAAACTAGTTTTTATCTTTTTCTTAATAGAGCTGGCATTTTTAAGATCATCCTCCAGACCATTCCACAATCCTATACCCTGGATTAAAGTATACCCTGGATTAAAGTATACCCTGGATTAAAGTATACCCTGGATTAAAGTGCATCTTTCTCTCAAGCAAGTACGAAAATATGGCTTCACAAACATTTCCATCCCCTTAAGATAATAACAACTGTCTCTCTTAACAAAGTTTGCCTGAATGTTGGAAGGTAATATGTTTCTGTGAGCCTTGTACATAAACARTAAARTATTATAATCAACCAAATCATAGAATTTCAAAATGTTCAGTTTGCAAAATAATGTATTTGATGGATGGTTGTAAACTTTTTTTAGTGATAATTCTTGTGGCTCTTTTCTGCAAAACAAAAATTGGATTTGTAATTGTTTTGCAAGCTTTACCCCAGACTTCAATACAGTAAATTAAATGTGGAACAATTATTGCACTATACAACACAAGCAGAGCCTTGTCATTGAATAACTACCTGACTTTATACAGTTCTCCTATAGATATAGATATTTTAGTTTTTAAATAATATATGTGAGGTCTCCATGTCAGCTTGTCATCAATTATGACACCCAGAAATTTCACCTCACTGACTTTACAGATCTCAATACCATCTACTGTAAATGACAAATCAATAGTTGTCTTCCTGTTACTAAATATCATATAATTTGTTTTATCCAAATTTAATGATCATTTGTTTTGCTGAAACCAGTTTTGTATTTTCTCAAATTCTTTTTGTGCCATCTCAAACATTTTTTTCTATATCTTTACCTGAGCAAAAAAAGTTGTATTTTCAGCAAATAAAACACATTTGAAAAGTCCTGACACATTTACTAAGTCATTCACATATAAAATAAATAACTTAGGTCCCAGTACAGAACCTTGAGGGACTCCACATGTGATATTACCAAGTTTAGATCTCATAATTCACCAGAGAGCTTATCTAATCAGCTCAGTCAGGGAGTGGAAGTTGCACTGGATGCTGTTGTAATTGAATAACATTAAATGTGTACCAGACGGGCCTCACCGGGAACCTCATGATCCTGTCGGTGCTCTACAAAGGAGGCCTCCTGATGGCCAGTCAGCACATGACTGTAGGGGAGCTCTCATCCTTCATCATGTACACCTTCTGGGTGGGCATCAGCATTGCAGGTAGCACAAACTGAGCTCTCCATGCTGTGTTTCTAACTGCCACAAGTGTCTTTGTGTTATATATGTATAATAAATTTGGTTCGTAGGTCTGAGTTCTTTCTACTCTGAGCTGATGAAGGGTTTCGGAGCTGGAACCAGACTGTGGGAGCTGATGGACAGAAAGCCTGAGTTTCCTCTCAATGGTCAGAACAATTATTCAGACACAACAAGAGCTAATATCCATCAATATTTATGGAAAAAATGTTATTTAACAAAGTATTTGATAGAAATACAAATTGTGTAGTGTGTAGAACATGCACAATGAATTAAAAAAAAGCCTCATGAGCATTCATTTTTATGCCTTAATCTTTACCAACTACTTTTTCATTTAGATGCATTTTATTATWATCCAGAAAATCAGGTAAAAAAAAGAAAAACCCTTGCTAAAAATCCAAATATTTGACTTTAAAATAAGAAAAGAAAACACCACATTCTCTGTGGTTCTTTCCACGTCAAAATCAAAGATTACTGAAAAAATTCAAACTTAATTTTTTGGCTTAAAAGTTGACAGAAGTGATGAAGAATGCACCAAATACAGCGACAAAAAGAGAAACCATTAAACTATTTCACATTTAAAGTATTACTTTTGGGGCCGGATAAAATGGTGACGAGTGCCAGATTTGGCCCGCTGGCCACAAATTTAACGTGTACTAGAGATATGCAGTACTGTGCAAAAGTTTTAAATAATTTTTTTAGCATTCAGCTAAATAAATAAGAGATGATTGTGTCTTTATGACCTGCTGATGGTACAAAAAAAAACATTTTAATTAAACGTGTTTCTCAGTTATTTGTCGGCACAACACTGGTCCAGCCCTGAATTTAGGAATGTGTTTATAACTGAATGGTTGTGTCTTAGCRAACAAACCAAACATTTTCTTTTAAAATGGTCAAATATTCCTGAATGTAACTCCAGCTTTATCTGCCGTAACCTTCAAATCCCAAACAATATGAAGCTACGGACAACAAATTAGTTTCTGCTTGTTTGTTTTCCCTCAGAGGGACGAGTCCTCCCTGCAGGTCAGCTGAAAGGCCAGCTGCAGTTCTCCGACGTCTCCTTCGCCTACCCCACTCGTGAGGAGGCTCCCATTTTTCAGAACCTTAACCTCTTTGTTCCGGCTGGCACCGTCATGGCCGTGGTGGGGTCCAGCGGGTCGGGGAAATCCTCCCTTGTCTCACTGCTGCTCAGGCTGTATAACCCCGACTCTGGTGAAAAGAAAACACACGACTCATCACAACCGTTTTACGACCAAAGCTTCATTTTAGAGACTAAAAAGGACTTTTCTTCTCCAGGTATCATCTCTATTGATGGCCATGACATCAGGGATTTAAATCCCTACTGGCTCAGGAGTCACATCGGCACTGTCAGCCAGGTAAATAAAAATAATTAGGCTGAGATTATTCCAAGGTTTAGAAAGGACTCCAACTGTCTTTTTAAAAATCTTTCCCTCAGGAGCCGGTCCTGTTTTCCTGCTCTATAAGAGATAATATTGCGTACGGTGCTGTGGACCCTGAAGCTGTGACCACAGAGGACATCTACAGGGCGGCCAGAGTGTCCAACGCGTTTGATTTCGTTCAGGCATTCCCCAAAGGCTTCGACACGGTGGTGGGAGAGAAAGGAGTGCTGCTGTCAGGTGAGAAACATGAAAACCAGCAGACGCCTCACTTCAGTGTCGGTGCTCTGGAATGACTTGATCTCACAAGGAATCCACGTTTGTTCATTTTCTTAGTAAAAGTTTAATCTTTAATTTACATTTTGGATCGAATGGTTTATAATGTGTTTTAAAATATACAAAATATTCCGATGTTATGATAATGAGGTGTTTCTGACTGAATTTAAGAATGTTTTCCTGAAGAAAATCGTAACTAAACTTTGTTTTTTGCTTTTTATTCCCCTCAGGTGGTCAAAAGCAGAGAATAGCTATAGCCCGAGCTCTGCTCAAGGTAAACTCAGGAATGTTTTGTTTTTTTCACAGCACAGTTCATATTTGTTTATCTATATGCATCACATCCTTTCAAGGAGACTTTGTCTTTCACATCACATGCTTTATATGAAGAGGAACAAAATTATGTGCCTGCAGTTAAACCTAAAGAGCAATATACTGAATGTAAAACAAAAGAAATTTCTATATAAAATGTGTAAAAGGAAAGAAAATAGAAAAATCAAGTAATAATGATAAAATGCAAAGGGGGAAAAAAAACGGGTTTGTTGGGAGGATGAGAAGACACCGCACTATTGCACGCTGCCATCTTAGATTCTCGATCTGATGTTGGTTTTAGGTCACTAATTAGCAGCTGATGTTCATAAATTGTTGTATTTCACATCTAGTTTCTCTATTGAACAATTAGCAGGCGTTTTTTGTGTTGTTGGCTGCTGTTAGGGAACTAAAGTCAAGATTATAAATGTGACCCATCATATCGAAATGAGGACTAAGTCAAATTTGGTCAAAATGACCTAATTACATTTTCAGATTCTTGGCTTTAAAAGCTACATTTTGATACCTGGATCGTTCTGATATCGTAATTAAATCCATTCATATGACTCAATTTGTCTTGTTGGTTACAATAATACATAAATATTTGGTCTGAATCCTAATTTTATGTAATTTTAATGAGGAATTTTTGATGTCCTTTTAAAGAGGAAACCTCAAATTTTATTTGAATATTGAGATTTCCCAGTTGAACTGAAACAAAACTTTGCTAGCTCACAGGGAAAATCTTAAAAATTTAAGGCGTTTTTCCTCATTCAGTTTTTTTTTTTTGTTGCTACTGCTCAAAAATGTGCTTCAAAATTTAGTTTTATGGTTATATTTCAGACAGTTCATTCAAATGATACATTGATAAGGCTTTTTATTCATTAAATTTTGACAAAATGCAATTTTTGTTAATGTTTTAATGAAAACACTATATTTGCCTGTTTCTCCATAAACCACTTTTGGACTTAATCCTCGTTTCGATGTGATGGGTCACATATATAAAAAATGACAGCTTTAGTGTTTAACCTTTAAATAGTGTCTGTAACACTCTGCTTTGTTTTATTCTCAGAATCCAAAGATCCTGCTTTTGGATGAAGCCACCAGGTGAGAGACTGAGGCTGGATTTAGAGTCAGCTCAGACACTGTTCAGACCGTGTCCAGTCACTTTGTCAGGAGTTCATACATTAAAACACCCTCTTTTTTTTTTTTTTACTTTTCTTGAAACAAAATCCTAAATCTTAAAATCTTCTGTTAATCTTCCTCCAGCGCTCTGGATGCTGAGAACGAGTTCCTGGTCCAGGAGGCGTTGGAGCGCCTGATGGAAGGTAGTTCTCTCCATCCTTTCTTTCCAGTCACCTGACAGATAAACCCGAGCTGACTTCGTGTTCTCGTCCCCGTCGAACAGGGAGGACGGTCGTGATCATCGCTCACCGCCTGTCCACCATCAAGAACGCGGACTCCGTCGCCGTTATCGACCAGCGGCGCGTAGCCGAGTGTGGCCCGCCCACAGAGCTGCTGGGAAACAGGGAAGGACTGTTCCGGAAGCTGATGGAGAAACAGGCGTTCGTGCAGGAAGAGCAGCAGCAGGCTGTCCTCTGAAAGGAAGAAACCGCAGACAGTCGAGTCAAAGGGAGAAGAAAAGCTTGAAACTCAATTCCTGGAAGTTCCCCTTTTTCCGTCTCGCTGGTGAAGTCGCTCAGTTTGTCAGAAGATTGTTTATTTTTAAAAACATGTTGAGAGAGAGAGAGAGAGAGAGAGAGAGAGAGAGAGAGAGAGTACTTCCACAGAAAAGGGAAGTGGTGATGAGGACAGACACACTGGAACTAATTTTATAACTATTATCATAACTCTCTGCTCATAACACCAAAGTCAGCGTAGTCTGAGTCATACAGCTCTAGAATCTAGATTTAAATATGAGTCAGTATTTTAGATTTTTATTTTCCCTTGAAGCTTCGAAACGAGGGGTGTTTTCTTGTTATTTTACAGCCTAAACAAATGAAAGCAGCTACATGTCACACTGTTAGACAATAGGACTGAACACAGCTCTGACCTGATTTAGAAACGTTTGCACATTTGTTGTAGAAAGAGTCAAGTGACAGACTTGAAAAGTCACAGTGAGACCTAACTGACTTTTACATCGAACATCTTACTGACAGACATGTAAGTTAATCATCTTCATGGAAGCTGACAGGTTGATCTGTCAGGTATCTCCACAGTTCTTTGCAAAAGTTACCCTGGTTTAAACTTTAATCAGAGGAATCACAGCACACCTGCGTATCTCACTCTGACCTGAGAGTCTCCATTTTTTTATTCTCACTCCGGTCACTGCTGTGTGTTTACAGGAAGTCCACTTCACCACACTAAGTTCTTTATAAACAGCTCTAAAACCCATGTTTTGAGCCGTGTGCAAAGCCTGTTCTGAAGAGTTCTCCTCAGTGAACATTTGGACCAAACTCTTTCAGAAGGTTTTCTCTCTTTCCTCCATGTCCAGATTGATTAAAAATCGAAACCAGAAGCTGGTTTGTTTTGGACTGTAACACACAAAAAGCCACTTCCTGGTATTCGTTGCCAGTTAGGAGAATTCCAAGCATCTTTTTTTGTTTGTTTTTTAAGCTCTGATCTATATCATGACATTTGGTCTCACTAGGCTGAAAGGCTGAAGGCGATAAACCAGATGAGTCAACACTGCCAATTCACGAAATTTTCTCATGTTTTTGGTGTCTTAAACTTTCCCTTCATGGTTTTATAAATGTAAAGTTTTGTATTTATTCATTAAAGTTTGATGACTSTATGGCAGCACAATCAGCTTCTTTATGATCCAAATGTTTATTACAGGATAGATGTTTTGTTTTAATTTTACCGTTTTGTTGTTTGGTGTATTTCCTTTGTTTCACTTTAAAAGTAACCTTTAGGTTTTCATGTCATTGTTATGCATTCGTCCACATTTTAGGTCTATTTTCACAAAAACGTTGTTTTAATCTTCGTCTCTGCAGCATCTTGGTTCATGTGGGTAAATTTTAACTCCCTCGTTTGTTTTTGTTTGAAATGAGTCTTTGTGCCAGAATAAGCGACATCAGTTTTCTTTTTAAAACTTTTATAATGAAGCAGTATAAATATGACTTAAATTATGTTTTATAAAGAATTATATGTGAAGAGGAATAAAAACGAATTATTGGAAGATTTAATTTGTCGTCTTTTGATGTTTTTAATGAAAAATCTCAAAAACTCCATAAAAATGGTAGTAATTTTACCACTATAATTTTTTAAAAAGGCCAAATTAGATTAAGTTGGGACTTGTGATTATTTTTTCTTAAAAGCCCTGTCGCACTATAGTGTTTAGACAACTTATGTCGAAAAACCTGCTTTGAAAATGTTACTCTAGATTAAACAATATATAATATATTTGATGTGTCTGCATAGATCTCTTCAGTGATGGACAAAATAYTCATAAGTCATGTAGAACTTTGCATTGAGACAAAATGTCTGCAGAAGTGTGTTTCTGTGGAGTGACATCGTGCCAACAGCAGGTGGCGCTGCTGCTTCGCTCTCTGAGCTCCATCCAGGCTCTGCTGTGTTGACTGCTGGCTTCAGGGATCAGTGTTCACTCGGWGTGTCATACCAAAATAAAACTTTGTGGTAATGATGGGAGGAATGTGTGCTCAGCTCTGTTGTTAGAGCTGCGAGCTTCCCTGCAAATAGCCTCTGCACGGTGTCCCATCTGGACAGAGCACAGGTCCAAAAAAGGCCGGAAAGGATTTACTCTTTAACTGTCATGTCATATTTTACTGTTTTTGTTTTGAGAAGCCTGGATTTTTTTTCTCATTGATGACAAATGTTGATTAATTCTTGAATTGTACTTCGTGAACCTCTTCACCTGAAGTTGTGCTCATGCTGACGACACATCTGCACCCAGACACTGACCCTGATCCGCCTCACAAAACTCTATTATAACTCTTTTTTTTCACATCACATCCAACCTTGTAAAGTGAGAATTTAAAGAGAAGATCTAGCTGGACACTTCTTTGTTAGAAACTGTTGAGGAATCACTGCAGGCTTTTAAAGCAGCTTTCAGCTGGGCCTGTATACACTCTGACCKTCCTCTTTATATCCTGTCAGTCATTAAATACAAACACACTCGTCTTCATTTAGAGCAACAGAAAGTGCTGCAGAGGCTTTACCGCATAGCATTGACTCAAGAGCTGTGATTTACCTGAGTTTAGGAGTGATATGATTCACCTGCCCAYTTCTACTACAGCTCCAAAAGTCATTCTTCACAGGATCAGCAAAGACTTGAAAATCACAGATAAGTTACTTATCTTTTTAAAAATGTAGCAAAAGCAGAAAAAGAAAGACTTCTACAAAAATGCTGCCAAAAGATTTGAGTTCAAGCTCTGAGCTCACTATTCTTACGCCTTTCCTGTTTCCCTCAGAGAGTTCCTCCTGAACCTGTAAACTGGATTAAATCTGTCAGATTATTCTGAAGTGCATTAATCCATCTGTTCTCCTCCTTCCGTCTACAGGTCCTTTCTGCTAACTCCTCCTGACAAACTAAACCCCTGCTTCTCTCGCCACCTGCTGCACACACCCTTTCACCTTACCCCTTTTCTCTCCCCCACGCCACCCCCACCTCGGCCCCTCTGACCCCCTCTGGCCCCCTCCCTCCCTCCCCCCTTCGACCACTGCCCGCCCCTTTACATTTTAGGCGTTTCGTCCGGCCTCGGGTCCAGGATGGCTCACAACAAGTGCATAAAAGTAGCTCGGCCTCGCTCTTACTCTGCAAGCCCCCTTCCACCCCCCCCCCCCCCACCACCACCACCACCAAACACACAAACACACATTCCCTTCTCCCACAGACACATTTAGCAGACATCAYGTTTTTAGACCTTTTTGCTTCAGCTCCATCTTCTTTCTGCCGCTATAAAATATGAAACTTGAATCTAAAAACCATAATTTTGCGAACGATTTTCTTTGACATCAACAGTCAGTGTGCCAACAATGAAAAGGTTAATTTGCAATAATAAGACAAAACAAATGAACATTTATTTACTTCTATGTGTCCAATATGAGGCTATGACACAGAAAGCTAATTTGATGTTTGCTTTTTTAATTTAAAATCACCAAAGGATTTAAAATTTGATTGTTTTTTTGTACTTTAAGTTTTTACATCACTTTCAGAAATAATTCTTAAACATTCCCACAGCTCATGCGTCGTCTTTCTCCTCCGTGAAAGTTTGTTTGATTTTCCACATTCTTTATTTTCCTCCTCCTCACTTTTTTATTGTTCCTGCCACGCCCCTCACCTTCCTTTGAGTTTATAATAAGCACCTCTTCGATCAATCCTTCCCCCTGCACACCAAGCCATTCTCCCCATTTGTCTCTTTCTCACACACATGCACCACCCAGCACCCCCTCCTCCATTTGAGTTATAATTAATCCAACTGCTCCAGTGACAGAGCAGTGTAGCCCCCTGCAGATAAGGTTTCAGCTATACTGGCTGTTCAGACTCAGCCTGCTACCATGYGGCTCTGCAGAGATGCAAAGGTGGAATGTAATCAGTGGCCATAATGCATGGAAATGCTGCTGAGGAAATGCTCAGATGATTTGATGAAGGGTTATTTCATGTTTTAGGCTGGCAATGATGGACATTTCTCRTGCACACACACCAACTGTTGCAGGGATTTTTATCATGCTGCACACAGAAGTGACTACAAGTGTTTGCTTACAGTGTAGTCTTGACCACTTTCTAAGTCTGCCTGTTTGAAATGCTAAAAGGTGCTGCTCATGTTGAAGATTTATACACAGGAAGACCTCGGCTTTTAGTTGATTTCAAGTTGATTAATTAATAAAGTTGAGTTTTTAATTGGCACTTTGGCTCGTCCTCCCTGTATTTGGGCCCTTGTTGGCTCCATGGCCTAAATGTGTTCAGATGAGAGAAGCRTTTTCCCATTTTAAGGCTGGATGAGGCCTACTAGAAGCAAATGTATAACCCTGCTTGGCAGCAACTGGCGTCTCCCCTAGAAACCCCTCTGGTGGCCCGCGCGCTCCTTATACGGCCCTCTAGGTGGGACCGCSGGGCTCGCTGGGAGGTCAAAGCGACAGATCCATATATGGCGCGCGCTCTCTCCTCGTTGGGGAGCGCGCAGCGTCACTTTTGATCCCCCCCACCTCTCATCTCATGGTTCTGATGGATGGAGCTTCCTCCGTGTCACCGAGGGGTGCGCCTCCGCCCTCCCACACCCACTGCCTCTGCCTGTCAGCATCCTAATATGGCCGAGGGCCGGGATGGGGGCCAGTGCGGAGGTTTGTGAATGGTAGAGGTTGGGTATAAAAGGTGGACGGCGAGCAGGGAAGACTCCAGCTGGTTCAGCAGCAGCACTGGTTGGGTCGTTCTCTCCGAGCCGCAGACAAAACACCTAAGGTAAGACCCTGCAAGGACCCACCGCTCCTGAAGCCTCTCATCCGGGTTGGATCTGCAGAATATAGGCCTGAGATAGTGGAGCATCCACTGGAGGAACAAGACAGAGACCTAGAATAAGAAGCTGTTCAAACTGCGGATGTGTCCTCATGTAGAAGACATAAAGAAGGATTTGTTCCTTGTAATCTTAGAAAAACGGGATTTGACCAGAAAAAAACAGCAGTTTGATTTGGAAATTTAAAAGCWAATTGTTAAATTAATTAATTATTAGGTTTGATGGAGCCTGATGTGATTCATTTTTCAAAAGATGCTACTGTAAGACTTAGTTTGTTTTAGTTAAAACTTAAAAAAAAAACAGAAATTGTTTTTCGAGGAAACGTCAAGTTTAAAAACACAGGACGTCTTCTAAGATAGAACAGCCACGTTTATAGATTTTKCTTCAAAACGTGTTATTTTATATTATTAATGTAATTTACCTTTCAACACGTTTAAATAGACGTTTTGAGTAAGTTTACAGTTCTTTTAATTCAATTTTAGACTGGAGTTTTAGCATGAAAATGCTTTATAACTCGTGCGTAAATCCTGCTGTCAGCGAGTCATGGACACATTTAGCGCACACCTCGGCCTGGATCATGTTTAGGTTCCTTGAGATCTTTGGATTATTTTAGTTTATTTAGTCTTAAATTCAGAGCCCTGATTTAGTATCACAAAAAAAATACAAGGAAATTTGATATAGTTTCAAGTACTTTAATCTGCTTTCATCTGAAACAGTGCGCTCAAGGTTTTTGTTTTTCTTTTTCTCTCCTCCTTTGCAGAAGCCACCATGTGTGACGACGATGAGACTACCGCCCTTGTGTGCGACAACGGCTCCGGCCTGGTGAAGGCTGGCTTCGCTGGAGACGATGCCCCCAGGGCCGTGTTCCCATCCATTGTCGGCCGCCCCCGTCACCAGGTAAATAAGGAAGAAAAATACAGAAATGGTTGGACTTTAATAAAATGCAAAAAGGCAGCAAYACTTCACACTTAATCATCCCACCTCTGTAAACTGATTTTTAAACTTAAGACRTTTATTTTTGACAGAGGTGTACCGCTAAAATAATCTCCTAACACTAATTGAAGATGTTTTGCGCATGTGGCGCACAATATGGTTAACTAATACATCTTGAGTCATGTCCAAAACTTCCAGTTATTTGTTTCTTTTTTAGACTAAATGGGTCAAAAGTGAAGTGACATAATCACTGCTTTGTCTGTCTCTGTGAAGATGCAGTGATTTTGGCACATTTACGCACGGTGTCCAAAGTCTTTCATCTGTGCGCGACTGACCTTTCCTTTACATYCCTCCTTGTTTCCTCCTAGGGTGTCATGGTCGGTATGGGTCAGAAGGACTCCTACGTCGGAGAYGAGGCCCAGAGCAAGAGGGGTATCCTGACTCTGAAGTACCCCATTGAGCACGGCATCATCACCAACTGGGACGACATGGAGAAGATCTGGCACCACACCTTYTACAACGAGCTGAGAGTTGCCCCCGAGGAGCACCCAACCCTGCTCACTGAGGCCCCCCTGAACCCCAAGGCCAACAGGGAGAAGATGACCCAGATCATGTTTGAGACCTTCAACGTCCCCGCCATGTATGTGGCCATCCAGGCTGTGCTGTCCCTGTACGCTTCCGGCCGTACCACCGGTAAGACTGGCAGCGACAAAAAGGCTGCCACACAACTAAAACACACATTTAAAAAGAAACAACAACAAACTGATTTATCACGCGGACTTTACGAAAACCCCTCCTTGTTTCTCCTCAGGTATTGTGCTGGATGCTGGTGATGGTGTGACCCACAACGTCCCAGTCTATGAGGGTTACGCCCTGCCCCACGCCATCATGCGTCTGGACCTGGCTGGTCGCGATCTGACCGACTACCTGATGAAGATCCTGACTGAGCGTGGCTACTCTTTCGTGACCACCGGTGAGGACCTCTAATTGAATCTGCTCTAATCCACGAGGCAGAAACTGAACGATCATATTAATCTATAATCAGATTTATTAAGAGTTTGTTTAAAATTTGACCTAGAATTAAAAAAACAAACAGATAATTCTGTRTAAAGTGCCGTTTTGCGCGCACTCTGAATAATAACTCTTTAAAATTGTCCCCTGACAGCTGAGCGTGAGATCGTGCGCGACATCAAGGAGAAGCTGTGCTATGTGGCTCTGGACTTTGAGAACGAGATGGCCACCGCTGCCTCCTCCTCCTCCCTGGAGAAGAGCTATGAGCTTCCCGACGGTCAGGTCATCACCATCGGTAACGAGAGGTTCCGTTGCCCCGAGACCCTCTTCCAGCCTTCCTTCATCGGTACTTCAGTTGATTGTTTCTTATTTAGAAAAAAATACAAGTATTTTACGCACACCATCTTCATGCTTTACTCCTCCTCTAACACTTGTGCTCTCATCTGACTAGGTATGGAGTCTGCTGGCATTCATGAGACTGCCTACAACAGCATCATGAAGTGCGATATTGACATCCGTAAGGATCTGTAYGCCAACAATGTGCTCTCCGGCGGTACCACCATGTACCCTGGTATTGCTGACCGTATGCAGAAGGAGATCACTGCTCTGGCCCCCAGCACCATGAAGATCAAGGTAATTTAAACTTGACTTGAATATTAAAAAAAAGATAAAAGCACGCGTAAAAGTCAAAATCCTTGATAATTACGCGCAAATTACGCACGAATTACGCACAAGATCCAACAGTTTCTGGCTGAGTGCAAGTTTCTTACGGACTCTCTCCACCTCTTCCACAGATCATTGCTCCTCCTGAGAGGAAGTACTCTGTCTGGATCGGTGGCTCCATCCTGGCTTCCCTGTCCACCTTCCAGCAGATGTGGATCTCCAAGCAGGAGTACGACGAGGCTGGCCCCAGCATTGTCCACAGGAAGTGCTTCTAAATCCTCCACCATCTTCACCAGCTTCTCCATCACTTTCACCACCAGCGCTCTGGAGATCAAGCGAAGAGAAGAAGAAGAAGAAGAAGAAGAAAAAAAAGCGAACACCTCTACGGCACAGCAACACTCTGCTGTCAATGGACTCTATGCCTTCGCTGTTGACATATGCATTTTTTTATTCTGTTAAAATCTGCATATTTTATAGCTGTCTGTTGTCTGTGTTGCACGGAGAAAGGCTGTGAAAACAACCACTGAACCATGCATTCACCCTACCCCCAAGAAAACTTTAATAAAAAAATAAGAACAACATGTTGCCCAACACATGTGAATGTAAGTGTATATACATATTGATAATTTATTAAAGTCCATTATTTGGTAATTTCTGTGCCCCTGGCCTTGGTTTTCTCTTAAGGGAAGAGTGGAAAACAAAAACTTTAAAGGTGGCTGAAAATGGCGCAAATCAGATCACCAGACAAATAAAAAAAAATAGTTCTCTTAATTCCCAACCAGAGCTTTAAAAATACCGTAAAACAGCATTTTAATGGCACATCTCTTGGACCGAGGGGTAACTTATGGGTTTAAACTGGATAGAATTTCATCTTCTCCATTTGCTCTGACAGGTGGGAGGAATGGTGAAAGAAAGGGGGTCTTTTTTAAACYCTGACAGCCAGAGACTTGGCCACAAGGCAGCAGCTTTATGAACTGTCCGGATCACTGGACACCTGACACTCAGCTCCGGATCCTGATGAGCTCCATGACCCCACCAGACCATTTTTAGACCCCCTAACCATACCTACATTGTGTCCCCAAGGACCTTTCTGCAGCCGGGCCTTATATGTATATTGTGATCCCTACATGTTATCTTTGTCTGTCTGTGTGTGTGTGTGTGTGT